AGCTCTAGGTGAGCCTGGCACTCTCATTTTATGTTTAATGGTTGTTAATGTTTTTGTTGTTCTTTGTATTTGTCACATGTTTAATTTGAATTGTATGTAAATAAAGGTTAGGTGTATTTACTCTGCTTTTGTTTTATATAATTAAACCATACATCCCCTCTACAAAGTTAGTAGCCAGCGCCTTCCGGTCAATTAAACAAAGATAGATACACACAACGTAGGTATTCCTTATGACGATCACATATTTCTGGCCACAACTACGTTTACTTATTTTTTGTCGAACCTAGGGTTGTTATACTACAACCTTAGTATTTCTGAGAATTTCTTTATTTGGTAGCTTTTAGTAAAGTTATGTCATTAATTACAAAAGAACAAACTAGTGGAAAAGAGTTAAAGATTGTTTACCGCCATTCATCCAGGGTAGCCGCTGCTATTCAGGCATCCAATGTATTTTCTGAGCATATTACTTACTGCGATGTTGGTCTAGACTTATCCCTATCTATTAGAAGACTCTCCTAATATTGATTGCATCCCAACCGCTGTCCATTAAATACTGATTATGATTGGCCGAAGAGAAAAACAACTTTTCGCTCAATATGTTTATCAAACGAGAATACATAAGTTTGCTTTTCACTAATATCTTTATTTCTGGTCCGTTTTGTGTGCTCATTCGTTTTGAACGCACTCAGTTGGATATTCTTTAATAGGTACTCGTATGTTAATATTATTTTACAAACATCTATAATTAAGTACCTAAACTGTAACTAAATATAAGATTTAATCCAGAGGGTATAGTCTAAATTAGAGCTTTCCATTTAAAACGACACTATTTGGTGTATTTGGTCCTCATAATTATGTTGTTAGAAGGATCCAGCTGCTTTAGTTTCGTTACTCACAAAGAGATGTGTATACATAGAGCAAGTGCTGGCTCCATCTATCGTGCTACTTCCCACCTATGTCATTCTGTGACCTACAATTTTCTTTCAAGGGAACATAAGTTTGATTATAATATGCTACATTTGTCTTGAATAATTCCGACATTAATACTAAATTTTAAATAAGTTATTTTAAGGAACTGCTAGTTTTGAAACAAATATGTTAGCAGTTTATGATGAACTATAAGAGATATTGTAGCTAAAGTCTAAGAAAAATTATATATTACAGCAAATATTTCACATAGTTTGACGAAAGTATGTATACATTTGAATAGAATAAAATAACATTTACGGCAAATAAATCCATCTGCTCATTTGATCCAAATACCTTTTTTTCATTGTACTCTAATTATTTTCACAAACATCCAGGGAACTTCCAATTGCGGAGTATAAATAAATAGGAACAAATTAACAGAGTATTTTCCGCTGCTACCCTTCTTTGGGTTCTGTACGCTGCTACAAGTCTAATACCAGAGAACGTACATATTTCGAGAGAATTTTTAAAAGCTGTAAGTATTAGTGTCTATGATTTTTACCAGAGATCTTATTGCTCTTGCTAATTGAATGCCTGTAATAAAATTTATTTAGATTTAGATGTTGTAGAATTTGCTGTGAAATCGTATTTCTTACTCAACCATCATCCTTTCGAATCAACCCTATATCTCTTGTTTTTTTTTAACTCGGGGCCAATTGGTTAGCTAATTTTATCCCTCAGACGAACGTTACTTTTTTTTTCCTAGAATATTTTTCTGCCTCTATACTGTTTCAGAGAATTGTTAGGAAACATACTAGAACTTACACCAGCTGAGTGATCTACCATTTCTACCCCAACTACACTACACTACTAAGGGTTAAAAATCTCTAAGTTAGCCCTAAGCCACTCAGGCCGTGTGGGAGAATAGGTAAGAAAGATAAGTTTCTTTTACTTTTTGACCATATCCACCAACAGTGTACTTATGGCTTATCAAGCAAGAAAAAAATGTATACATTAAAGATGTTTCCTTATATTATTTTTTTGTCAGACATTGCTTACAAAAAGTAACAAAGAATAAGTAATTGTATTTGCAATTGGAAAAGCTTTAAAATAAAAAATTAAGCAACATAATTAAAAAAATTAACAAACCTCTTTGTAATATGCCCCATTGAAAATAAAAATTGACGTCTTTCAGGAATTTTACGAGAAATCTTTATTGATTAAGTTACAGAATTTGTTCCAGTTAAACTTTCCATATTCAATCAACCAATGACTACTTCAAAATTGTTCAAATATGTTTTTCAAGCACTAGGAAACTGTTCTTCATATTTTTTCATTTAAATATGTTTGTTTCATTCCTTAAAATTTTGCTGTAACATCACTACCGCACTTCCAAAAGCAAATAAAATAGTTTTTTGATATCTAAAAAAAATAGTTCCTATTCTAACGGACCTCATAGTGTAGATGTGTAAGAAATTAACAAAAGAAAAATGTGCATACATATTTTAGTAGTGCATTTGACTATTTTAAAAGCTATTAAATGTTTTTCTACTATTTCGATTAAACACGTTGGCAACAAAGCTAATATCATTTTGAGCAAACAGTGTTTCACTGAAATTATGAAAATGTTCTAAGGCAGAGCTCATTAATACAAACCGCCTATTACGGAAATGGATTCTATAAAATGTAATTTCAGTAGGCTTCCGTAATCGAAAGAAGTTGGTAAGGGGTAAGGATCTGACGTACCCCTAAGATTTTCATTCTTAATTCGGAATTCAATGCGGAGTGTGTTAAAATATATACCGCGAGGCGATGCTATCGGCGACATTAAGTGATACCGAGAGGACTCCGCATTAAGAATGCCATTCTGGCTTTAATTAAGATGAGATGCTTAATTGCCCCCTCTCACGCTCAGATCGAGTGCCGTTCTTACTTTGAGGATTCACTTATAACCAGTACACTGTAAAATTCGCCAGATATAAAAGGGGAGTCTGTGTATTTTTAATGCAAAGTAAGAGTGATATATGGAAAAATATTTTTATTGTGGTAAAATATCCGATTGTGACATTTAACCCTCATATATGTGGTGAATTAACAATTCGATCTCAACACTTAAGGGTTGGATGTAAATATCATTTTAACAGCAAATGAACTAAATGTGATATACTCTGCCTCAGAAGGAATAATCAATTGTCAATTTTTTACTAGGCTTCAGTTCTTCTCTGATGCTTCGAAAATTATTTTTATTTTCACTTTTAACAGACAAAAGTTATTATCCTCTTCCCAATAAGGTTTTCGCGGATATTTCGAAAATTTCTTTTACAATTTTAAAAATTATCAATGCAATGAGTATTCTTTGACTAATTGATTTACAAGAGATTCTTTATTAAACATGTGGGAACACATGTCTACAAGTGATCCATTTTAAGTATTACGTCAAGAGTGCCAGTCTGACGCTGCCCGGGACGGTCTAACAGCTGCAAGGACAAAAAATAGACGCGGGATGCAACAGGATTCCAGGAAAAGGTCCACGGCAGATTGGCGCCAAGGACCAGATACTTATACCTGCAAGCGACTCCACACCAAGACTCTTGCCCCGACAACACCTCTTTTTCACTAACTTGGTTTTCAATGAAAATAATTTGATTCTTACCGTTGATAAAGTTTTATTTTGCTGCACACCGAAAGCAACCCTCAACCCTATTTGTACTATAGCCCTATGTAATCGGTGTTCTTTATTATGGAAATAGAATTATTTTCTTTACATGAGTTGAGGTATAATTTTCCATTTTTCGTTAATTGTGTTCTGATTAATATATTAATATTTTCTAAGTGGGTTTTGGACCATTTTATTGACCCAAAAGGATTAAAACAGGTTTGTCCAGTTTGGTTTTGACTTAAGATTTTTGTATTGCTGCTGAAGATCTTGTTTTGTTGTAGTTTGATCCAATTTGTTGTTTTGATTAATTCCCCAGATAACAGTGTAATTCATGTTTTTCTATTTGAGACACTTTTTCGTTGTTTAGTGTTTGCCTGTTTCCATTTTCCTTTTTCTATATGTAATGTCTTATGTTTACTTACTCTGACGACCTACATTCGTATCATTGGATATAATTTCTGTTGTTTTTAAGAGTCCCTGTAATTGTGTCTAGATATGTATATTTGTACAGGGTGTCCAGTGACTAGATGACCATAGCTTAAGGTCGTATTCCTTGGACAATTTTAAGTCGAAAGTGCCTTATACACTTTGTCCAAAACTCAATAGTTAAGGAGTTACGGACAATATTAAATTTAACACTAAATAAATCTGGTGACATTGTTTATTCTTTGACGTTGTAATTAGATTATTTGACATGGCTATGTTTTCAAATCAAGAATATTCCGATATTCACTTTACGGACACTGTAACGGAAATGCGAGAGCGTCAGTGCGGGAATATCATCGGAGGTTTCCTGATCGAAGAATACCTAATAAGTAAGTATTGATAAATGTGCATCGTCAATTGACAGAAACATATATGTTTCCTAAAGCTACTGCAGAACGTCCCGTGCATCAAAAACTTGCCGAAGAAGAAACTATTCTTAACATGATCGAAAATAGTCCCTTAACTAGTATACGAAGAACATCTAATCGTGTTCAAGCTAGTCGAATGAAAGTGTGGAGAACATTACACAATTTTGGTTTGTACCCATATCACCTACATGAGTTGACCTTTGTCGTTGGTTCATTGCACACCCATAGCTTTTATGGGCAAATTATGTTTACGGATGAAGCCACCTTGAAGAGATGGAATTACGAATACCAGTAATTCAAATTCGTGGGCACTTGACAACCCTTTGGAAATCAGGGAAACGCATTTTCAACATCGCTTTTTGGTGAATATTTGGTGTGGTGTTCTTAATAACCTTCTTATTGGGCTATTCGTATTTCAAAAACGTTTAACATCCAAGCATTATCTAAATTTTTTACAAAATGTGTTGCCAGGATTAATGGAGAATGTTCCACTTCAGAATAGAGTTGTTAATATGTGAGTTCAGCCCGATGGAGCACCACCGCATTTTGGTGTAAATGTGAGAGAAATAACAACTTTGCTAATCGGTGGATTGCAAGAGGAGGTCCAGTTCTCTGGCCTCCAAGGTCGTCAGACCTAACGCCTCTTGACTATTATCTTTAGGGACACCTGAAAAGTCTAGTGTATTCAAATAAACCACAAGCCAGAGATGAGCTAATTCAAAACATTATTGATACAAGATGACCCAAATACTCTTCAGAGAGCTACCTACATCTTCAATTATTAGAAGAGCAATAATGTGTTGTGAGGCAGCGGGGGACATTTTCAACCAAACCTTTAATTAAAGCAATAAAAGCAATAAAAAAATTCGTAATTAATAACATATTACATTACTTTATTCAACATGCTCTTTACCAGATTTATTTACTGTTAAATTTAATATTGTCCATAACTCCTTAACTATTGAGTTTTGGACAAAGTGTATAAAATTAAAATTGTCTAAGGAATACGACCTTAAGCTATGGCCATCGAGTCACGAGACATCCTATATATCATTCATATACATTAAGTGATTTTTTTATATACTGTTATACTCTATTATTGTTATTAATGTTATTGTTATTATTGTTGTTATTTTACATGGTGTTACCCATAATTATTATTATTATTGTTATTATTATTATTATTATTATTATTATTATTATTATTATTATTGTTATTGTTAAAATTATTATTATTATTATTATTATTATTATTATTATTATTATTATTATTTCTATGTAGATCACATTCTTTCTTTCTGAATCCCACTAACAGTGTAAGAACAAATGAATATATCTCACGGTAGTGCATGTCAGGCCTTATCTTAACAGTGTAGACGTGATGCGAGTGTCTGTTCTTGCCTGTTTGAATATTCCAAGCTTGTGCGGGGCTTAGCTCTGCTGTCTCGCGGCTCCGCCGAGGTGGAAGTGGCTCGTCTCCTTACACTAATTGCTCATATCTGAACATTAACATGCTAATTGGCCGCTCACTTTATTACATCCTGCTGCCTGAACGCGAACGTGAACATCTCGCGTACGTGCATTCTCCTTAAACGGTTGCCCTGATTTATACCGGCGCGTATACCTGAGCTGGATGCGGTTGTGTACTATTTATTGCCATACCACCGTGCAGCTGAGATTGTCTTAAGATTAACGACAGTCTACGCCGATACCTCTATCTTGAAAAGTAATGTATAGGGTGGTTGATTTTCGATAGTTTTATAGGGTACAGCCAAAACGGTGATAGATACAAAAAATCTGATATCGATGTCCCGTCCTCTTTTTTTGAGTTTACTTCGCTGGTAACAAAAGGTCTTGGCTAACTTGATTAGTTTTAGATATACAGGGTTTTTTCGAAAAATGGCCCATTTACATTAACCTCTCTATCTCCGTTGTCATTCAATTTAGAAGAAAAAAGTGTGCACGTTATTTGTTCTATTTTTTATTAGGAAGCCATTGGCGTACTCAGATTTTTTACAAATCGCACAGTTTCTCCGATATTGCATAAACATAGGTTTTTTTAAATAGAATACCCTGTATTTGGCCATCCCGTTGAGTAGCATTTTTTTTAACTTTTCAGCCATATATAATAATAGATACTTTTTATTTGCCTAAATGAAGAAAATATAAAAAATGTATAGATATTTTTTCAGTGGCCCATGAGATTTGTTTAGTATTGGTTTCTTCGTTTTCTATTATTATTTTTATATTAAGCACCTAACTTAGACTAAAAAATTAAAAGAAAAAATAAATTAGATTATCCATATATCTTTACTTAATAGGTTTAATTATAGGTACACTTATAACTATCTAAACATAAACTAAACAAAAATAACAACTATAAAATGACAGAAACAACAATAAAACAAAAATGACATAACAAAGTCACAACAAGTGCTCGAATTGTCGGCCATTTTCTTTGATACATAACTGACAACGTTTGGCAATGGAACGGGTCGCATTGTAAATGTGAATATTTGACACCCGCTGAATATAGTTTTCAAAATGTTCCCTTAGCTCCTCGACATTATTAGCTCTATACTTATAAATTTTGTCTTTAACATCCCCCAAAAATAAGAGTCTATAGGGGTTAGGTCTGGTGACCTAGGCGGCCACCTGTTTGGTCCGTACGTACCGATCCAATTGTCACCGAAATTATGATTTAATAATTCTCTAACTATGTGGGAATTATGTGGAGGCGCACCATCATGCTGAAAGAACATATTATATCATTGAGCTAGTGATATATCGTCCAGCAGTTCAATAATATTTTTTTGTAAAATTCTCACATATCTCTGAGCGTTAAGGTTTTCATCGTACATTTCGTAAGCTAACACTCTATTGTGGAAGAGAGCTACCCATACATGAAAACCAAACCGCCCTTGTTGAATTCTGGCCCCCGTTTGGTGAAGATTCACATCTGATCAATAACGCGCATTATGCCGGTTGAATATACCTTCGCTGCTTATAAAAGCCTCGTCGGTCCAAATAACATTTTAGAAAAAAAATGGGGTATACATAAGTTTGCTGCAAAAACCATTGGCAGAAAATGACGCGTCTCTCTTCATCTCCTGGATGCAAATGGTGGACTTTTCTTATAGTATATGGTCGAAACTTGTGTTTTTTTAAAATTCTCAATGCTTTGAATTTACCAATTCCTATCGTTCTTTGAATTTCTCTGCTGGATACATTGGGATTTGCGACAACAAAAGCTAAAGTATTGATTTCATCATTTTCTCTATTCTGTATATTATAAGATTTAGCTCTCGGTTTTTGAAAAAAACCAAACTCACACAAGTTATCATAGAGTCGGCTAAAAATTCTCTTTTCTGGCTGATGACGCTCTGGGTATCTCTCCAAATATAAGTTTAAAGCTGTGTCACTATTTTTTTCACTTTCAATGTAACACTCTAACATTTGAACTTTGTGAAGATTTTCGTACACCATTTTTATTCTTTTCAAAATTAAAACCAAGTAATAGACGTTTAACAAGCTTTCAATCAGTCAAAAATAAACTAACTGTCAATATTAAACAACAAAAGACGAATAAATAAATAACATGGCCAACTGAAAAAATATCTATATCTACATTTTTGCATTTTTCTTCATTTAGGCAAATAAAAAGTATCTATTATTATATATGGCTGAAAAGGTAAAAAAAATGCTACTCAACGGGATGGCCAAATACAGGGTGTTCTATTTAAAAAAAACCTATGTTTATGCAATATCGGAGAAACTGTGCGATTTGTAAAAAAATCTGAGTACGCCAATGGCTTCCTAATAAAAAATAGAACAAATAACGTGCACACTTTTTTCTTCTAAATTGAATGACAACGGAGATAGAGAGGTTAATGTAAATGGGCCATTTTTCAAAAAAACCCTGTATATCTAAAACCAATCAAGTTAGCCAAGACCTTTTGTTACCAGCGAAGTAAACTCAAAAAAAGAGGACGGGACATCGATATCAGATTTTTTGTATCTATCACCGTTTTGGCTGTACCCTATAAAACTATCGAAAATCAACCACCCTGCACATCAAAACGCAAATACAGGGTCTGCAATTTAGTCAACAACTGTTTATACTAACAGAAGAAAATGTACTATAGATTTGTGGACTTGGACATGGATCTAAACTGTGAACGGCTGAAGTATTTCTGAGCAAGTCACCACGTCCCTGTTTGGACTTTTAGACATTACTAGAAGAGACTCTGAAACATGAAAGTAAGTCGCCTAGCTTATATCTACACAGGCTGCTCTACAAGCCCTATGAGAAACTTTGACAGATGATAGCACATTTTTTCTTATATATTGACATGAAATCAGATGTGTGAGAGCAAATTAAAAATTAAATTAAAATTCTATTTAAATACAACGCGGTAAAGAGAATGGTTGAAATGGTTATTATAAATTAAGAAAAATATTTGATTAAAAAAAAATTTGTTAGTATTGAATAAGTATTAGGATTATTAAGTCGGATTATTAGAACAGGATAAATTTCAAAATTCAAGTATAAAAATTATTATCATTTTGGTCAGATAGAGCATATGCCAAGATGTTATTAGAAAAACATAATTGAAATTAATTAAAATTAATAAGAGACAGATATCTAACAAAAGCTAAAATCAGAGTTTTTGTAAATACTTATAATATAAGGTAAAATAATAATTAGTAAAAGATATTAAGGTTTAAAGAAAAATTTGTATATCAATAAAAGGAATATGTCATAGAAATGTCAAAATTAAAGTGGGATCCACAAGGAATAAAGTAGTATATAGAAAAGTCAAATAAGATTATAGAATAAGAAGTATTTTGAAGTATAATTTAAATTTGATTGTAAAGAAACTAGAATAGGGTGTATATAAGTGCAAAGGATAAAGTGAAGTGATGTGAGTTGCAAAAGAAAAACGGCGCTTAAAAAGCAAAATCAGATATGTGGAAAGGCGTTAACAAGGGTGAAAAAAAATCAAGATAGTAGAAAGGGAAAAAAGAAATTAATTATTGATTAGTTACGAAGAAAATTTGTAAAGAGTTAGATGTTGTAAAAAATAGATTGAAAAACCAGAGAAAATAGAAGCAGTTATCGAGAGAGTATTAAAGTAACAAAGTAGGAGAAACCAAATATAGAACAGAAAAAAAAATTGTGGAAAAGTGAACCAAGCAAATATGGCAAGAGCGGAATACCAACAGCAGAAGCAGAGAGAGTCCGTAAGAAAGCGGTATAGCAGACAGTTTCCAGAAATCTATCGAGACAGAAAAGACAAGGACAAGGAATTAAACAAATAAGACGTATAAAAAGGTACCTTTATTTTCGTTGACAATTTGTGCACAAATTAAAATTAAAATTCGCTTAAAAATTTTCAGATTCAAAATTTTTAATTTTAAACAAATTTAATTCAACTATATAGAAAGCATCATCAAAATTGGCCAAGTAATTTAAATTTCTAGATATTAATATTAGAGATAAGTTATAACATATTAAACAAGAAGTTATACGAGAAAATTTAAATTGCTTATTGAAAGCAACCAGTAATACATTAATTTCACGAAAGTAGCCATATCGAAATAAATTCTTTTTTAAAGTGTTCAAGATATTGTGAAAGATTTCAAAATATTTGCTATTGTGTGACA